AGCCCTTTGACAGCCATGTTTCAGGCAGCTGCTGTAGAAATGAAGGAGGGAGTTTTAAAGTTGTATTGTGCTTGGCTGCCCTTGCCTGGTGCTTTTGGCTGGCTGGGACACGACTCGCCGTGGAGGCGATACCCAACATTTCCTTCTGCTCTTAAAAGAGATCCTCCAGAGGGGGAGATTTTGTTAGGGAGCGGCATGTCTGACAACATGTGAGTGCTGTTCTAATGGAGACAATATTAGCCCCAGTCTTTGAGGCACGGTAGCTCTTTGCTCCCTGTGGCTCAGTTTTCGAGGCTGCCCGTTTTGCAAGTCCAGCTTGGGTGGCTGGTGTGATGGGAAAGGCAGCAGGTGCAAGGGAACATGTCCTGCCTTGCTTCATTCTGGACTTCTCCCTCGAATTACTTCTAAAGCTCCCCACGGGGACCATCTGTCCTTTTCATCACATCTGTAGGAGTGAGGCTGTTGGAACAAATAATCCCAAGGGCAATATCATTCTGGCAGCGTGAGCTCACACAAGGTGGAAATTAAATGGAAGGGAGTTAGGTGCTCTCAATGTTCAAATTCAGCAGCTCACTTAAGAAAACTCTTTTCTTCTCAGTTCTTTTTTTCACCTTGCGCTTTTCTTGCTGTTTTTCTCCCATTCTCACCTACACAGAACATAAACGTTATAGGTTTCTGAATGGGATTTCCAGTCTAGGATGCCTCAGCTGGCAGAAAACAGGGAGAAAAGTCAACAGTTTGGGTAAGCTTTCTCCCTTGATAAGGGACACTGCCTGTTGCTCATAGTCATGCCCTGTGTACAAGCAAGAGTGTTTGAAAAAAATCCGGGAGAGAACCTGTGCTCTCATAAACCATCATCTTTCTTTGGAAATCTGCAGAGTGCTAAGTATACACACAAGTAAAGAAACCCCATCCCTTTGACAGGTTTGTAGGAAGAGGCAATATCTTTCATTAGCTTGCTACGGTTGGAAAAAGCATCAAACTTTAGCCAAGAACCCCTCTTCAAGCCCACAACAGAAGCAGCATCTTTCAAAGACGTATGCTAGTCAAGAGTAGTTATTCAGAGTTCAGCCCTTCTGAGAAGCTGTGTCATTTATTGTCAGTGATTTAAGAAAATCTTAGGGTCAAATGTTGCTGATGCAGGCTGATGAACTTGATGTCCTGAGACAGTTCACCTGTAAGTCAGAGAATTGATTAGCAAATAAAGAAAGATTTTATTTGATGGGATGGAGAGTCAGCTGGATAAAAATGGTTTTAATAATTAGGAATATAGTATTGTCTCTGATCTCCTTTGCTATTGGTGTCGGGCAGTCTGCAGCTACTTAGGGCTAGGATGCATAGCAACACACAAGCCTAAACCGTACTGCAAAATTAGTACCTCTCCTTTCATCTGGGATTTGCCTCCTTTGCTGCAGCTGTTTTGTTTAACGGTATTTGTGGGCAGAAGGCAAAATGTCGGCTCTGTGTAGAGGTGTATGAGAGTCCTGTGGCAGGCCCAGCATCATCATTGCCTCTGGTGTGCAGAGACATGTGGGCTTCTCCTTGAGATCTTTTAAGAAATTATTGATTACTTCTAGCACTGTTGTGTTAAAAAAAAAAAAAACAAAACTCGTTTGAGGTATTTTTCTGTCAAGGTTTCCTGGAGATGTGGTCAGTGCCCCAGGCCTGTCTGTTTTAGAGGCATTTGGACAATGCTCTTAATACTGTGCTTTTTGGTCAGCCCTGAAGCGGTCAGGCAGTTGGACTACATAATCCTTGTGGATCCCTTCCAACTGAACCGAACTATTCTGTCCTATAGAATTGTCAGTCTGATGGTACTAGTTAAATTAATGGCAATTAGTCCTATTTCTGTTGGGGGAAGGGAGGACAGAGTAAATGGAAGTTCTTCAGAACTTACTTTTCAAAATGTTCTTTTTTTCAAAAAAGCAACATGAATCCTTGGGTATGGACTAGCCTTTACTAGAGGATGTTATGAGTTAACCATGTTTTTGCTCCATTTTACTGTGTACTGTACTGAAATAGATCTGTGCATAGTGAATAATTAAATAAAACACTTTGAGTAGACAGGCATTTTAGATAACATAGATATTATCAAACTAACATAAATGTGATGCATAATGTTTAGTAGCTGGTATTTGAAACAGGTATAGAAATAATTGCAAAACAGTTTTTGACTGAAAATGTATATCCACATGGGATAGTTGGAGAGAAGCAGGTTCACTGGTGTTCTTAATGTGGAGTAAGTCTGCATTCGTGTTCCTACTGTGAAGCTTCCTATTCCTTTCAGTACTATAACTGTACAGGTGTGGGGTTTGTTAGTTTTATGTTGTTTTTTTTTGTTGAGTGGTTGGTTTTTTTTTTTTTAAGTATAAACCTGATGCAAGTTCTTTTAACTTCAAAGTTTGTCCTCTTGCCGAATGGTGTTTATGAACTCTAATCTGCACATGACTGAGAGGAAGGGAGAGGGAGCATGTGTTACAGAGCTGAGACTAGTATTTACTGGGAAAAGTCACTGCATGAATCCTGACACCTCTCACCCAAAGTTGAGTAAACAAAAGGGTGAGAATAAGAAGTAGTGAAGATGCTCAGTTGTAAATCTACTTGTAAAGATCTTGAAACAGGCGCAAGTGCAGTACAATTTCTGTCTTTATTCCGGTTAATGATGAAACTGATTGTCTCAATCTCATATTTCTACTTAATATCTCTGGTCCTGTGTTCTCTGCTGACACCTCTTTAAAGGAGATTTGCCCCAGCCAAAGCCCTGTCAGCTTTCCTGGTTCCCTGGCTTACAACTGAGACCTAGAAGACATATACCTTGGCTTGGCTTTAGAAAGCCATGGGCAGGAGCAGGATGGCAGTAGCCTGCCTGTGCTTGTTCCTGGCCTTGTGCTTGGTTCGGCTCACACCTGCATCTCAGAATGAGATGGTGATTGATGCCATCTTCGTTTGCCTCTGATCCCTTGTTGCCTGAAGGCAGAGACTCAGCTGGCAAGGTAGTTTCTGTCTCAGTGCAGGTCTGCTACCGTTCTCATGACGTAGCCCAAGAAAAGCGGACTTTGAACTGCCTGAAGGCTGTTAGGTGTGACCTGACATAGATGCTGGCCATCTCTAGCTGGCCTGCCTCTTCCTTGACTGTGATGTGGGTGCACTGACAACTCCCTGCCCCACCTTTCCCTTTCCCCTGCATCCTTGTATCCTCATGTTTGGCTAGCGATGTGTTACAGATCCCCTGTCTGCTTTTTCTGTTGGGCTTTGGCTGACTGTATTCTTGCAGACTTGGAGTTGAAACATTGTTGGAATAGAAGAGTGGAAAAGGTTTATCTTTCTGTTTTGTGGTTTACTGAAAGACAGCTGACACAGGAAGAGACAAAATTTTGTTCTTGAATTTCAAAGTTATTCCCCCAACATTACAGTAGCTTGTCTGATGTGATTTGTGTTGCAGGATGTATAGCTTAATCTTCTAAGTATTTTGCATAAAATTAAATTTTCTCTGCATTATCCTTGAAGCTTTTATGACCTTCTTAGTCAACTCCTTCTAGAAACTCTAATTGGAAAAAGGTTCTCATGGAGTAATGTGGTGCATCATACATCAAACTGCTTCAGTTTCATAAGAAATTTAACCTGAAATTTTTTTTAAAAGCCTTGTAGTCAGGGGAGACAAGGTAATTGCATTGCCTGTTAACCACTGGGTTGCATACAGTTTTTTCAGAGACCCTGTCTAGCCATGTAAGTTGTCATAGCAGCTGAATTTATAGAGCAAATAGCAGTGCATTTGCTTTATAGAAAGATTACCACAGTATCCAGGGGTTTTAATGGACTTTTAATCTTTTGGTTGTGTCAGCTCTGGATGTGCTGTTAGCGAACCACCATTTTTCAGGAATTGTATGTGGAACTTCATTTAAGTTGTCTGCCTATTGAGAGCATTTAAAAGAGAATTGGAAACCTTGAAAGATGCACAGCATCATGCTTTTTATTCATTCCCATTTAATGATCTCATTCTAACAACGTGGAGAATGGAGCCTTCTAAATCTAGATGGTGGTCCCTTATTCCCACCAGTCTAACTGAACGTTAATTCTCTTGTTTCACAAATCCTCTGAGAGATGAAGTGAGCCTAGAAATATTTTAGAAACAATTTTTAGACCCTACTTGCCAAATTCTCTTAGTCGTCGTTTTAGCAAAAAGACAACTGACATGGTAAGATGAAAATATCTACTGGAATTCTGGGGTTTTGGTGACTAATGTGTTTTGGTTTTGTTTGTTTAGAAATTCTTCCTATATGGATCAGCCTTCTAGTGATGGTGAAACCGGAAGACCACCACTCTAAGCAAACTCAGGATGAATCGGGTGCCAGGTGATGCAGAAAATGCTCACAGCAGCAGTGTGGAGTCCTGTCCTTCCTTGCGGGATGTCCACTCCATCAACCCAGCGCAGCTGATGGCAAGGATTGAGTCATATGAAGGCAGAGAGAAGAAAGGCATATCAGATGTCAGAAGGACTTTCTGTTTGTTTGTTACATTTGATCTCTTATTCATAACCTTGCTCTGGATAATAGAATTAAATGTGAGTTTTTTCTTCAGTACACTTAGACTTTAATTTATTTATTCACTTCAGGAATGGTTAATAAGTTGCTCTTTTCTATCCCAAATTTTATGCTCTTTGTATCTAAATTAAAGCAGCTTCTTACTTTCAAGCTTTCATGAGCATAGTATCTACTCAACTGCATCTACTTTTAGTCACTAGGATACATGGTTTATTATCTTCTTATCATTAAACCATTTGATGTTCCTGTAGTCTGTGAACCATGCTGAAGAAACCATTGGAAATCCAGTGAACTTTTCAGGCAGGAAGTAAACAAAAATGTTACTGTACATCTTTGAATTTGGCAAGAAGTGTGAATTTGAACAGGATTTGAGAGTTTGCCTTCTGACTAACTCAAAGTCAGTGATATTTCACGGAGGTGCTAGTCCCTGGAAAGACTTCCAATGACCAAACCCTTCTTTTGCTGTGATGTATTTTCTTTGAGACAAATTCGGTCATACATTGTGTATGGCAGGATGCATTTAAGCAACATAAACTCCTACAGTTGCCACCTTTTAACTCCAACGTTTGTGATTTGGAAAACAAGGCAGTTGTCCTGAAATTTCCAGAAAGCAATAGGATAGTTGATTTGTTATTATTTCATAAGTAGCATCCTAGTTCTTGAGCTCAGTTTTAAGCTATAATCTGAAGTATGCATTTAAACAAAGACACACAGGAAAAATGGGAGGAATCCCTTTTCTAGACAAGATCTTGAGTAAACATTTTTTGTCAGCTTCCTTTACAGGATAAATAACCTTGGTTATTGATCTGACGTTATGAAGTTTCAGGAGCTGACTGTTCAAGTAGTTCATTGATATAGTGAAAAATACACTTTCTAATTTAATTTGAGAAAGCAGACTTATCGCCTGAATGTTGTAGTTCTGGGACTAGATTTCCATCATCTCTCTAGTTGGAAAGGCTTGTATCCAGTGCATGAAGTTAGCTTGGCTCAGAAAAGCAGCATAGTATTCTGACGCGTTTCTTTTTTTAAGCCAGTTTCTCAACAGTTTGTTCAACTAAGAGGAGCAGAGTCTGGGTTTGTATCTCTTGTTGAGAATTCAGAGTACAGATTTTCATATTGGTTCTCTCAGAATATTTAAGACTCTGTATAGAAAATGCTACTAACTCATGTCTCATTTTGAACACCACATCATTAACGGACCTCAAGATCCTAGCAATTTTCTTTGTGAAAATCTTTGTTTTAAGGAGAACATATTATGAACTGGAGTCCTATGCCACCAAGTGTCAGCAAGAATGAAAACTATTTCTTTGTCTTCAGAATTCATAATATTAGAAGCCATCATTTGAGATGTAGGATCTGACACATGATTAAGTTCTTCTGATCTGTTTTTTAAATTAAGTTTTGTTCATTGGGAAGTCAAATAGCACTGCGTTAGGGCAGTCTGTCACTGGCACATAAATAGTGGGACTTCAGAATTGCTGCCACAGTTCCTGTAAGTATTGGTTTTTCCTTTGTTACCATTATCAAATGTGCTTAGATGTAATTTATTTTTTTAAATGCTTCAGGGAGGAACTCTATGGCAGTTTCAGCAAACCCTAAATTGAGGCTGTCGTGGTTCTCTGTCCATCCTTAAGTTAACATGGTGCTCCTGCAGCCAGTGAACAACTTGGGGAGGGGCCAAGTTGATCTTCCTTATTTATGCTGGAAATAGATGATCACACCTGATGCATTAGAGCAACCAAGGAGAAGCTATATTTGAAAGTTCTTTGTCAGGTATCCATACAGTGGAGGGAGAGGAGAAGAAATAGAAGAAATTTGGAGTTGCCATGAATAGTCTCAGGAAAACACTGTCCAGCAGTGTATTTGGGAAGAGTGTGCAGGAGTCTAGACTGCACTGCTGTGACATGGTGAGCATAGGTTGTTGGTGTGCTTTGGTACCTCCTTTCTTTGAAAGGATGACAGCAGTCAGACACAGTATTAAAGCCTTCTGTTGGTGGTGTTTTCCAGTGCTTTACACAAGTATTTAATGTAGTGCTTAATTACTGAATTCAGTATTAAAAACAAGAGGATATGGACACTAAGGTTTTTCGCTCACATCTGAGATATATATTCCTCTCACTCTCTGACCCAATACATCAATGATTTTCTTACTAACCCAGTCTGAACAGGAAAGTGTCACTGTTTGAACAGGAGTCCTTCCACCGGAAAGAAGCACAGTGGATAAGGAAGATATAATTTTGAATCCCCTCAAGCAGATGAAAGACTTAAGCTTGGACATTAGTTATTTGTGGGAGAATGATCTAATACTTGCACCTTCTCTGTCTTTTACAGTGGGTTTTTTTGCTCAGCTCTCTTTAAACAAATAGTATGTATGCTGACAAGGAAGAAATCCGGAGTATGAATTCAGTTATTGTTTTGTTTCCTAGTTTCTAATGTGACTAACTTAAGCTAGTTTCTGGGTGGCATTTTTATCTGCTGTTTTGATCCTCCTCATGAGACGTAAATTGCTCTGTGAATCTGTGTAACAAACCTTACATTTAAACATTTCTTCTCTCAACTTGTTTGCTTTTATTTTGGAACAGTCTGAAATGTAGCTTGCTAGGCCAGGTGGTAATCCTAAATGTTTTCACTTTGAAAATTGTTTATAATCATGAAAAACAAATAAGGACATTGATCTTGAAATTGGCATTATTAGCAGATATATCCTCTGTGCTTAGTTTAATGATCTTTTTGCACATCAGTGGGGAATTACTAATTTCACCCTTCAGGTTTGTGTGTATTTTGGCTTCAGTACCTTCTGTTCTAAAGCTGTGCTTGTTGTTTCTTTGTAGGTAAAAGGAGGCATTGAGACTACCTTAGAGAAAGAAGTCCTCCAATATGACTACTCTTCTTCATATTTTGATATATTTGTAAGTGTTCTTTAAAAAAAAAAAAAAAAAAGCAGCAGCAAACATATTGTTTTCCCACATTCCTCCTTCCACAGATGTTTCATAGTTTGAGTCCTGTGAAAGGGCTGATCTTGATAATTTAAACCAGAAGGACTTGTGCCAAGTTTCACCTGTCTAGGGGTTGCTCAGTCCTGCTTTGGGAGCAGGCTCATGGAGCCTGTGGGTAGAGATGCTTAGCCACATTTAATTACATCTTCCACTTTGGGGGGCGTGAAAAAAGCAGATGAAAAAAACCAACCCTCCATCAAGAACATGAGACTGGTGTAACAAAGATAATTTGTTAAGAGGACAAGATCAATAGTCCTCCAGCTGTAAAATAATTTTGTTTAAAGCAACATTTTTGTCCTTCCACAGAAATAAGTCAGCTGCAGTGAGGAGAGACTTGTTCCCAGGTTGGCTTGTATAGGTCAGGTGTTTTTCATATTTCTGTGGTTTAACTCAAACAGCTTTCTTGTAGTAAAATAGATAACAAAGTATAATGTTCCTTTGCTTTGTATAAGCACCTTGGGCATGTGGGAGGAACTCTACGGCATTAGGAAATCTCCCTGTGTTTTAGCAACACTGTAGCTCTGTAGTTTCCATGTGTTTTACAGTGCATGGGCCGAATTACTGATCTGAAAGTAAAAGCTGTTTCTTTATAGTTATTCTGAAGGGCTCCATGTTTTTGCAAGATTATTAGTTCTACCACATCTTACTTGCCTGGAAGAGATGAGATGGTTTGGTATCAGTCATTTTATATTGATGACTGTATCCAGAACCTCTCTTTGAAACTGGTGTAAAACCCATCCTTGCTTCTGCATTGGGCCGTTTGCTCTGTCAAATGGAATGAGGTACTGGATACAAAATTTTCTTAAGCTAGCAAATTCTGCTACTTCTCCCTTTCTCTCTCATTATTTTGCTGGCACGTTCTCTCCATGATATACCTTACTGCATAAAGCAAAAATTGTTGCCTGTAAATGTTGGTGCTCTGGAAAGTATTTTGCCCTGTAGTTGAACCAAGGGTTAAAAACATGTCATGCAAAATAATAGACTTATTCCCTGGGAAAAGTATAGGTCATTAAATTCTGCAAAATGTTTTGTGGCCTTATGGAGGATTTCTTCTGTTACTGCTACACATCACAGGAACATGTATATTTGCATAAGATTAAATGAGTTCGTTATACCTCTGGCCATGTCTATCCTTGATTTCTGTTCATTTTTTAAGCATTTGTCTCACATTTTTGAGGTCATCATGAATACATATTTTAAAATTAATTGAAGGCAGTCTAATATCGAAGAATAAACAGGAAAATTGAGGATTAGGGTCCTTGTCTCAGAAATCTCATCTTTCTGCTATTGATTTAATTTTCTGGCCTAGAAATACCATAACTTACGTGTATTTACTGCAGAATATTTGCAACAGCTTGCTATTGCAGGCATCTCCATAAAGAATAACTGATTGTTGCAATATTAATATTTCAATAATTACTAAAACCTCAGTAAGTAAACTGCTTTTAAACTTTCCCACTTTCTAATTGCATTTGTGAAGTTTTTAATGATACTCTCATGCAGTAGCACACCACTAAATTCAGTGAGATGCACAGTGATGCTCAAGGTATTTGCTAGATTAATTGCATCTAATTTAAGTGCTTAGTCAGGTAAAATCATCATGAACATACTTTGTGTAGCTTTCTTATGTTTCGAACTTATTTGTGGAATTGAACATGCTTGCACGTTTCAGCCTATGTAGGCATGTGATTGGTGCCATTTGCTTTACAAATGGGAAATTATGTTCTCTTTCCATTTTATGAGCACACATGCAAATTTGTTTCTCAATAACAGATCTTGGATTGTCCTGTTTTAAGTTGTTCTGTAAGCAGTTAGTATTTTCAGTGAGCTGAGAATCTTGTGGTTCTTCTGTGTTCTGAATTAACCAACAAATATTTTTTTCCTTTCTCTATAGCTACTGGCAGTCTTTCGATTTAAGGTGTTAATACTTGCATATGCAATGTGCAGACTGCGCCATTGGTGGGCAATAGCTGTGAGTAGTAGCCAAGCATAATGGAGTTTTAACTAGAATGGATCAAAGACAAAATTTTAGATGCCTCTTAACGCTTGTATGTTAAGAAACATCTTGATGCTATATATGAAAATTCGCTGTACAGTAACAGAGTAAAAAATTCTGTTCTGGAAGATTTGCAGCCTAAAGACAAGAATTTAATAGCACAGTGGTTGTGGTAACATGTTAATGCAAATTGAAGACTTATTTTGAATCCTGTATGGATGGCTAGTCATAACTCCTTGTTACCTCTGACTTGTTAATTAATGTTTGAAATATATTTGCATTTGAAATAGTGAACTATATTTAAAAAGAATTGGCATTACTGTACCAGAGACCCAACTGTCCATGAACTTCTTAGCTTTTTAGAGTTTTAGGTGACACTCATTGAGCACAAGCACCTGTGTTGCTTCCAGCTCTAATACAAAATGTTGAATAAGCATCCTTTCTTAGAAAGAAAGTTCTTGAGAACTGTAGGCAACCACAGTGGATTGGAGCAAGTATCTTTAATGCAGCTGTACCATGTAGATGTGGATACTCATGCTTCCACCAGTCAATACTATAGACTGTAATTACAATAGGCAATATTGCTGGCTTAGCATGTTGTAATTCTTAGACTTTTTTTTCCCTTACCCTGTGATGGATGCACATAGAATGTGTTCATGTATAACTTTCTTCAAGTGAGTAACATGCGGTTCGTTTAGTAGTCTGAGATTACATGCCATGATTTTTTTTAAAATGTGTTATTAGCATAGCACAAACATGTCATGGTAACTGCTGCTCTGATGGTGTTTAAGTGCACACCTCTCAAAAATCCCTTTCTCTTAGTTGTGTAGCTTTAGTGTATTTCTTCCAGTGACATCCTCCAACTTGAAACAGTTGTTTTTGAGGTGATGAGAGTGAACCCATCATGGTAGTAAGTAATTAGATATATAAAGCTTCACTGAAGGTTTTGCAGAAGCCATTAATCTTAAAATCCTACCGCTGCTTACCAGAAGCCAGTTAGATTCTGCTATTATTTAAAGAATTGCTGGACTCAAATGCACTAACAGAGTGAGAAGCCTTGCTTAAGTGGTCAGCACTTGTCCACTGCTTTTTTTTTTTTGATTTTTTTTTTTTTTAGATGTTTTATGCAGCCTGACATTTTTAAAATATGACAGGGAATACAACAAGTATCAAGTCTTCAAAATTATTCACTTCTCACAGTTATCAGTATGGGAATTAAAATATTAATTCAAATTTACTCCTGCAAAGATATTTTATTATTTGAAATGGATCTTTTGATTTAGATGATAGTGAAAAGCATTTGGAGCAATTGCTTTTTCCCAAATACATAGGTAGATTATTTTTGTAAAGGGACTTGGTGAATAAGATACTGCATCTTCATTATACAGTAAGATCACAATTTGTATAACTCAGTATCTGTGTAGCATCTAAACTGCTTATCTGCTGTGGGGAAATCAACATTTGGAGTTATCTTTATTAAGGAGGTTTTTTAAATAACTCTTTAATTGTATCATACTTGTCATGTTTTGTTAATCTATGATGTTGTTGGTTGCAACTGATAGATAATGGCAAAAATGAGAAAGTAAATCCATATATTAGTCTTAACTGTTCTTACCCTGTCTCTTTCAGTTTACAACAGCAGTGACCAGTGCCTTTTTATTAGCAAAAGTAATTATTTCACAGGTATATATTCTAATCAAACGTTTGTTTTACTTTGTTGTTTTCTTGAAAGCAAGATTCTTCAGGGTAATTTCTGCAATGTTGTGTGATTTTGTTTCCTTGAAGCTGTTCTCACAGGGTGCTTTTGGCTACGTGCTGCCCATCATATCCTTCATACTTGCCTGGATTGAAACTTGGTTCTTGGACTTTAAAGTGTTACCACAGGAAGCTGAAGAAGAAAACAGTAAGCTTTTGATAATTCCCTTCAATCACTGCAGTTGGCAACATTCGATCCCATGTTATCTGGCAGAAGAACGCTTCTTTCAGCTTCTCAAAATTTGAAGAGCTGTGGGAAAAAAATCATATGGCAGAATTTTTCTTTTTCTGGAAAGGAACATATGCTTTCAGAGAAGTGAAGTTTTAATTTAGGGAGGTAAAGTTAAAAGTTACATGTGTCAGATCAGCAATTTGTCAAGCACTCAGGAACATACATAGTTTTGTATGCTTAAGACATGAAAATTTAACTGACAGGCTTGTGAAATTTTATTTTCTGCATAATACATGGAATAAGTGTCTGGTTCCTCTTTTAGGAAGAGTGGTCACAATAAGTAACTCAGTGTCACTAACCTCTTCTTTTACAGTGGAGTAGGGAAAGCAAAGAAGTATTGTGGAGCATCTGCTTCATGCACAGACAGAATGAGACCAGAGACTTTTGCATTTTTTTTTATACTGTATCTCGGTAGACAAAGTATTTGATACATACACATGTAAATACTTGATGATCGTATTTATCGATATTATTGATAAATCCCTGTGGGATTCAATCACACTTTCTTTTACTTCGTTCCTACTGAACTTTAAATAGGTGGGATTTATGTAGAAGTCAATACTTTTTAGTTGAACTCTGCGTATTTCCCTAAAAAATTGGGTTTCACTGGAAAATGCAGATTTTAAGCAATTAAGTCAGAAAAATGATGGGCACATTTGGATTGTGTTGTGTGATAGTACTTATATAGCACCTTATTTGCCCTTAAATCTGAGTCAGATAATAACAGCACATTTGAGTAGTTTTTGCTTTTCGATCAGGTATTTTTCTCTGCTATCTCCAGTGGGAGTGGAAGCTGATTTTTCCCATCTTGCTGTTTTGCTTTAAAAAAATCCAACCAAAAACACCCCACCCCACTACAGCAATTTTCTGCCTAGTGCAACAACACTCATAATTTGGAGGTGTTTTGTCTGTAATTTTTTTTTTAAAAAGAAAAAAAAGAAAAAAAAAAAAAAAAAGGGCAAAACTGTCTTACCACTGTGAAGATTTCCAGCTCTAAAAGTTCCCTCCCATGAGCAGAATTTAAAGCTAAAATCCAACCATTTTGTGTCTTCTAGTATCTTGTGACTCATTAAGTGTCCTTCCTCTTCTGGACAGGGTGGAAATATAAGTAAAATAGATGTCTCTTTTGGAAACTTCGAACTGCTTAATAAGATAATTGGTATGTAGAAATTGTAGTTTGAGTTGGAGAGAGATTTTTGTAATAATTGCTAGCTACCTCAGATAGCTCTCCCAATTCGGTAAAACATCAAAGCTTTTTTTTTTTTTCCCCATCAGTAGAGAGTACTCTCAGCAGAGAGTAAAGGATTGAGGTTCAGTAGCTGTATGTTGACCTAAAATGTCATGTTTGCACTGTTATTATCAGAAGACCTGTTGATGGCAGTAAGGATGAGATGAATTAGCTTCTCTCCCAACCCCTTTTGGTTTTTGTCCTGTATTAAACACACCAGAACAGCCCCATGTCATTTCCAAATCGTTTTCCTGATTTTAGATTAAATTGAGCCAAAAGGAGTTGAAGCTTGGAGTAACTAGATGTGTGGAGAGAGATAGGTGAAAGCAAGCCATTAGCAAGGAGTCTTATAGTGACAAAGTAAGAAAATAATTTACTTGGTTATGTGTGGCAGAACACTGATCATTGAAGATACATTTTAGAGTTTTAGTTAGCCAGTGAATATTGATGAATTTACATATGGCATCCTAATCATGCAATTGCACATTGTAGAAGGAAGGATTCCTTAATTCATGCATAGAGTGCCTCTGTTTTGTTAGTGTGTCTTCTTAGCTGCCTGAAGTTACGTAGAAGACATAAATGTTAAAATAACAGTTTACTTTTTTTTTTTCCCCTGAGATATTTACAGAAGTAACTTGTTAGGAACGCTAACATCAGTCTTTAAGATTCTTCATCAATACTTGATCTTTAAGGTGCTATGTGATAGCATTGAGGATTTTTTTTGTTTGTTTTTAGGATTTTTGATAGCACAGGATGCTTCTGAACGAGCAGCTCTTCTTCACCCCGGTGTCCTCTCTGATGGACAGTTCTATTCTCCTCCTGAATCTGTAGCAGGTAGTTATGTTTGCATAGTGAATGATTTTCTGTATTGACACTAAACTCCTGCATATTTCACCCCCTTCAGAGGGGAAGGGTGAAGGGAAGAAAATATATTTGCCTTTTTAAATTAAAAATGTAATCTACAATCCTAAAATGAAAGATTCTTTTTTTAATTAGTAATTCGGTTTAGTTACTACCTATCAGACAAATTGCAATACACATATTTAATGGGGCCTCTGACATGCCCCAAAGGTGTCAAAACCAAGATAAGTCTGAAAGAAAATGGCACTGCAACTGGAAGGAGGTGGCTATTGTTTGTTTCTGCCATTGATGATCCTTATGGATCCCTTCCACCTTGAGATATTCTGTGATTCTGTGATCTGCTAGCAATTGTGTTTGTGCAGCAGTGCGCTATTTAATCCAGCCTAAACTTGGAGCTTTACAGTATTTTAGGATGAACAGTGAACCTGAAACTGCTCTAAAGCAAACTGCAGTTTAAATCAGAGGCTCTTTGCCTTTCATGTAACAAAAAGAAAAAGCCCTCTGTAGAAAAAGGTGAGTTCTGTGTGTATATTAAACTGAGGGCAAGTGTTAATTACATCTTAACTCTGCATATCATATGTTTCATTCTAGTTGAGGTATGAGCCGAGTAAGTAAAAAAATAAGTGCAAATACTGCAAGATTTAAGAATGTGTTTGCGGGCATTTCAAGGAAATGAGTAATTTATGAGTTGAGTGGATTTGAGTTATCTGAGGACACCGGGTGAGCCATCCAATCCTGTCAGTCTTTTTATGATAAAATGTGAATCTCTTCTGTAAAGCTGTGCTGTATTATACAATATATTTAAAATGTTAATATCTGCTAATTGCTACAAATACACTTGCCTATCTTGCATTATAGATTTAAACATGTTGATGATACTTTGCAGTATAATAGCTGTCTGGTTGCTGAGCATCTGGGCATAACAAATGACTTAGAGCTCCATCTAGGGTTGACAAAGCATTAAGATAATGTCGAGTATAACTAGTGATTCAGTGTAAATGTATTTTAGTTAAAGCTGTGAGCCTATCTTGAGGATGGTTGGAAGGCAGGTATGCTATTCCAAGAAAGGAAAGGACTTCAGACAAGTTTGGCCAAAAAAAAAACCCTGCTTAACACCTTTGTCGTTATGTTTATTACTTGTTTGTGAGAGGGAATGTTGGTCCATAGTTCAGCTTTAAATTGATGGCAAAAGCCCAAGTAAGTCTCCCAGACTTTTTATCAAAGACAGTTCTTTACTCACCTTTTGTTTTCCCTGTGGGAGTCTTATTTAAACTGCCTGAGACATGTCTGGTAAAATGCCTGGGCTGATAATTTCCTCAGTCTCCCCGACAAGGACTGACTGCCACCTCTGCTGTGGGCAGAGACATCTGCGGCTTGGATTGGGTCTCCAAACGGCAGATCACGCTGCTCACCCTGCTTGCTTGGTGTCCTCTTGCTCTCCCTGAACCAACTGATCCATCACGCCACCTTCGTGCAGAGCAGTGTCTCCAGTAGGAGCCCTCTCTGGGCGCATAGATCTGTGACCAGCTCAGCTTTCTTTTTGGGGCCTTCCAGGGCTTTGTCGCAGCAGAGAGCTGAGAGCAGTCAGGGGACAGGAGAAGAGAACTGGGCAGGGAGAGGCAGAGGCAGAGGCAGAGGGAGGGACCTGTTTGGTTTCTGGTTTAGAGTGAGATGATCTGTTTCTTGCCAGAACACTAGAAATTATTAAATTGTAAAGCAGTATTTCTGGCTGCTTTGAAAGTGTCTTCTGAAGTTGTCTTCCAAAGGGCAGGATGTAGCAAGTGGGAAAAGCTGCTTGTCAGTGAGCAAATGTGGTGTTGATTGTCCTGAGTGTGTTGCAGTGAAAACTTGAAGCTCCTGCTAACTGCATGTATTGACAGGATAGGTATTTCAAGAATGATCCCAGTGCTGGGTTTTGGGTTTGATAACTGTTAGAAAAAGCCTTCAGTGTGAAACATCCAAAACCATAAGAAATCCAAAAATAAAAGTAAATACTTTTATGGGAAATAGTTGCTTTGAATTGCCTTGCGATAAGCCGTTACCAGTGGTCTGCTGCTTGCTTTTTCTTTTTCTTATTTAAACTGCCCTAATAGCTTGTATTCCTTTTCTTCCTTTTCAGGATCTGATGAAGACTCTGAAGAAAAACAAGACAGTGAAAAACCAGTTGTATAGCAAATATGAAAAAGCAGGTAAGTTCCTTTGCCAGAACCTGAATATTCCTAAAAATATTTTTTTCTTCTTAGTTCCTTCCTAAATAATTTGAACAGTGGGCTCTTAGGAGTTATCATCTTTGAACGCAGTCTGTCTGTCTTAGCAACCTTCATGCAGGAAATCCCGCCAGGATCTTGACAGCCTGCCTGTAGCTGGGGTCCTCTGCTGCTGAGTTCTGGTTAAATCAGGCCCAAGGGACTGAGAGCGCTGTTCCAGACTATAGTGTAAAAGACTGCAGGCTTGGGGTGGAATGTCTCTAGCATTTATTTGTTGGCTGTCCTGGAAAGGACAATCATGGACCAGATGTGTAAAAGCTCAGGTTTTTTGGAAGTAGGGTGAGGTATTTCTTTGAAGATGGCAAAGCAAGAGTGCTAGGAAGAGATTTTCTTGTAGTTTAGCTCTAGGACAAATATACTCATCTTGAAGACTGCATGGGCAAAATTCCTTCAGTATTCCCCCTTCTCAGTCTGTTTAATACTACAAATGGGTTACATTGGAGCTGTGGTGTCTTCAGATCTTTGTAGTCTACTTTGGTTAAATATGAGAGATGATTTCCTTATTTTGGAAATTACTTCATTTACTTCTGGAATTATCTTGCCCCAGGCTTTCACTTCACCATACATGGCAAAGCTCAAGCTAGGGGAGGTATTAAATATTCTTGAGAAGCTGAAGCTTCTGATTTGAAAATCTAGTGCTTGTCTGGAAGAGTGGATGACTTTTCAGCCTCCCTGTTTTCAGTTTTCTTGAGTTGCCTCTTCATTCATCCAGACTTGTGTAATCTGTTTCAGAAAGAAAATCTCTGAGGGAAATTGTTTGGGTTTGGAAGCTGGCAACAGAATCTGTGGCTGACTTGCTGGTGGAGCTGCTGACAGGAGAATTCATTCATTAGAAAGGGAATAGTTCCCATGTACTGTAATACCTCACAAAGATGTACCTGTTGACATATGTATATTAGATTGCCTCCCAGGTGGTATGAAAATATTTGTCCATGTATTTTATGTGATTTACTTTCAGTGATTCCTGAAGTTGATCTTCTAATGACTAGGTAATTACTGGAAAGTGTTGTCTTGTGTACCTAATCAAGAGACTGGTAATATAATGAAGTAAAACTTCTCCATGGTGGAAGTATATTTAATGATTGTTGGGACTCACTTGGTAAAACTATTTTATGTTTAATACAAATTTGTCATTAGTTTTATGTTTACTTTTTTTAACTCCATGTTTTTTTCTTTTTTAATGGATATGTTCACTTTCTAAAATAAAAATGTTAAAACATGGGTAATGCATCATGATGTTTTGTGGCTTTATCGACTGAAAATCTGTGTACCACTCCTTTATTTCTTGTGAAGTAACAAGGATACTAGTCTGCCTAGATTTTGGGCAAAAGGTGTTGCAGTGCTGTTTTGCCCTCCATAGGGATGTAGTGGTAGTAGAACATAATTTCTTTGTGCCAATTGTGGTAACAAAAGGATGCAAGGAGCTTTTTGAAATAACTTAAGTTCCTGTATTGGTGGTGGATGTTATTCAAGTTCAAGGAGGAAACTGGAGTAAGTGGGCCCAATAAACACTTGTATTACCCCAGTAGTGAAAGTTAGGTAGCTAATAATTTGATGTAGGTCAGTATTTTCAAATACAGGTTTTAAGTGTTAACTGATGCTTGATCAAAAGCTTTAGGTAACACCTAATTCCTACCTAAAGAGGAATGTAAGTGCTGTCACTTTCCTTATATAGCCATTAGGTTTTATTAGCAAATATTAAGTACCAACCTCTTCTTTTATGTTATGTTTTGTATTATTTCTATTGCTGTGGGGTAGAAGATGGGATGGGCTGTGGTCTCTCTCTTCCAATCACAGTGCTTTGAAGCAGCAGTGACTGTTACAGTTTACAGGATTTTCCCACCACAATCCAGTCCCCTCAGAGCATTAAATCATACACTAGCTTCCCCTTTTTCAGTCTTAATAAATTAATAAACTAGCAGCAGGGGCTTATAGGCAGCTGTCAAACTCACAGCCATGAACTTGATGATCCCAGGAATTGCAGGTGGATACCATGTTCAACACTCTCTAGGGCTGTGTGGATGCAGGATTTCTTTCATCTTCTCAGTTTCAGGTATAAGACATTGCAAGCAAGCTGGGAGATCATTTATTAAAGGTGGGCTTGAGTTGTGAACAGCATCACTAGCTTAGTCATCCTGTCAGAGCTGAGGCTACAGCACCAAATATACACCACTCTGGGGGTAGTACAAGGGGAAAGAGGAGGAAGAGGTAGAAGTGATGCTATCAAAGTCTGCAAGAGCTACATTTAAACAGATGTTTTGAGAATACCTTCACAGCTATTTTATTTCACTTTATCATCAAGCCTCAACAGTAAAATCATCACTTCCCTCTTTGCTCCAAATAACAGGTCTGTAAACATGTGTATGCAGTCCATCTTCCTTTATACCAAACATCAATACACACTAAAGGCAGTGGCTTCAGTATGCTGTTCCTAAAATTCCCTTTTGGGAATGCTGGATGAAAAAAAAGCTAGGATCAAGTCTATTACTTATGTCACTTCAGAGTATTCAGGATCTGTTTCAGAGGATGTAAGACTAAAGCATTAGAAGAACAAAATAAAACCTATCATTTAACAGTGCTGAAATGTTCCAACCAAATAGTAAACTCCATGAGAAAAATGCATCTAGGGTAGGAGGTGCAAATTCCCTTAAACCTCTGAACTTTATCTAGGTGCACAACTTCATTTGAACCCTTCCACCATCCACAAGAATTTTCTTCAGTAGTTGTATTCAGTTCACATAATGCATAATAGTGAAACTCAAAGTATAAGTGGAGATTTTATTTTAGGAACTTCAGCTGGGTTTAGATATAGCTAAAACAATTCTTTTTATTCTTTGATCAAAAGAAGAAAGATTGACCATTTGCTATTGTGTTAGCATGATATTAAAACCCCTTTTTCTTTCCTCCATCAAGTCCAGCTTTATCATCTACAGAGTAAAACAATGTAGCATGAACATTTTTTAGATATGCACCAGTCTCCACTAACTACTTGCTCAACATCTCTCAAAAACTTTGTAGAGGTCAGGGAGGTTAGCAAGCTGCAAAATGTTGCCATCCTCTGTGAAGTGTTTAGGAGGTAAAAGATGAGTCCTAAAAGCTTTGTAAAGTACATGTTCCACTGTCCATTTCCATGTGGTTGAACTGGAGTCAGGATCTTCATTCTGAAATACAGACAAAAAGGACAAATAATTAAACTGAATTTCTCTGATATATTCTAAAGAAACTTTATTATGTAAGACTATATTGATTTTAAAATTAGGGAAGTTCATTCTGTACAGTCAAGTTAATTTTAAGCACTGGAAAGTCACCTGAACAATGAGCTAGCTTAAGTGAATGATTAAGCTGACTATTTTTAGTTTATATGCATCCTTATTCTTCTATAGAAATTTATCGTAGCTCAGCAGGTTAAAAAAAATACATCCCAAACTCAGAGGCCAAGGACTGTAGTATTATTAAAGTAGATTGCAATACCCAAAAGTTAAAAGGTTCTCTGAAATCATATAATACTGCAGAAGATTTAAGCCACATTCTTTCAGATTCTTGCCACACTGAAAGTAGAGTTGGGACTAGAAGTTTACAATTGAAAAAAAGTTTCCTGGGTGATGTCAGTTGTTCATACAACTTGTTACATAGTCTCATACCTGAGAGGTTGTCAGGTTGGCTTCATCTAGTATATATTGCTTTCTAATGGAGTAGAACATAGCTAATTCTTTACTGAGGGTTTCAAAACACTCCTTTTCTTCATCCCAGTTTACCTATAACAAGAAAAAGTATTAATTTAATAGAATCCAGGTAGCAGTGCAAGACTTAATAGAGATTCTTAAAATGGAAAAGCCATAATAATGTCTTGGATAAGGTAAAGGTATAGGAAAAAAAAAAGGTAGAAGTAAAGGCTTTCAAATCAAAATATCTGCTCATTCAGTCAGCAGTTATGAACACAAGGGCAAAGCACCACTAATCAATAACCTTATCAAGTGTGTCTTAACAGGACATTTAACCAACTCCAGCCTTTCCTTTGAAGCTTCTGATGAATTAATTTGGTTCACTTAATCCTTTCCCAAATAGAGTCATCTGTGAATGACTAGAAATCATTAAGAGAATATACCTCTGTGGCCAAGCGAAGGATGAACATGGGTAGTCCTTCCAGTGGTGGAACATAGTTGTCTATCAGAAGTGGTAACCCAATCAGGTTTCCTTCCTGCAAGGCAATGTTGCTGCTTCAGTAAAAAAAAAAAATGTTCTTTCTTGCAGTACATGCAAGAAAATTTATTAGTAAGAATCAGTTTTACAAACCTAGTGAGCCTTGGGGGTACCTGAAATTACGTGTTTTTAAAGCCTGATGCCAGGTAGACATTGCAGAAGGAGGGTTAGTAGTGGTGTTTAACTTCGAGGGCTGGATTTAAGCCACTCAGCTCAGGAAGACCTGAATTCAGCCCCGTCCTCCAACTCTAGTCACTGACTACAGAGATCCCACTTCCTAGGGGAATATCTGAGTGACATGTCTGGGTTATATGGCCCTTGATGAAGCTGATCAGCTTTGTGTAGAGAAAGGGATGCATTGGGCCACAAAAAAAACCCAAACAAACCCAAAACCAAAAACAAACAAACAACAACAAAACATTGCAAGCAATAGTGATGCTGCAGCCCTGCCTGGCTTGAGAGCTGGTTAAGCTGCACACCTGGCTGGATAAGAGATCTGCATTCTAGTTATGGAAGCAGTGACCAAATTATTTTTATTTAGTAGGTCATTAAATATGAAGTTCACGTGTAGTGCCCTTCTAAAAGCAGCGTACGTCCTGAGCGTTTTTAATGGTGGGGGTAAGCCACCTAAATCTTCCCAGAGATAGGTCTTAGTAAGTATTGCAAGCAAACTGCTGTGGTTATCTGTTACCAAAAGAGAATCATAGAATTATTTAAATTGGAAAAGACCTTTAAGATCATCGAGTCCAACCATAAACCTCACACTGCCAAGTCCACCATTCATTTACTGTCAGAAGTAATAGCAGTATCACCTCATCAATTTCAAGAGAAAAATAATCTTTCAACATTTCAGTCTTCTTTTTCAGAAACTCCACAATGTACTCAGCAAGCCCCTCTTTTGGTCCATCTTCTTCTGTCCAGCCACTTTCAGGATCCTCTAAAGCAAGCATTGAAAGCTCATACAAAGGAGCTGGCTCCTAAATATGGAGAAGGCAAAACCATTGTTAATGATGAACGTGCTCTACTGGAAATCTACAGCTTTTTCCTTCACATTTATAAGCTAACTGTAATATACTGTTTCTGGCCTGCAGAACAAACTGTTCTGCTTATCATAACCAGTCTAAAAAGTATTAATATCCTTCTGATATAATTCTGTGCAATCCACAGTCCTGCAAAGTGCTGTGATACTTACAGGATAAACACTAGCAACCAACACTACTTCTGATAGATTTGATTAGAAATCAAATTAATTATTTGTCCCAATGTAACAAGCAACAAGGTGAATATATATATGAGACACCAAGCAGCCAGGATGACAACTTACAGTAGTAGCTACAAAATTACTAATAGTTTTCTACATCCTATCCTTACTGTAAAAGAAACAAAACATTGTTCTTGTAGCAGGAAAAAAAAAACCAAACACCCTGTAAAACTATATTTGGCTGAAAGGAGAGACTTACTGTAAATGAATTTTGAAAAAATCTTTTTATGTATGATATAATGTAAAATTATACTTACTGACAACCTTAAGACTCCAAAGTTTGCAAAGTCATAAATAAGTATCTGGTAGAAGAGTTCTTGGCTAAATTGAAGTACAAAAATTAGTTACATGGACAGAATCACAGATCTCCAAGTTACCATAATCAAGAGGGGAAAGTAAGGGTCATTTTGGAAATAGCAGACATACATATCCATTCATATTAACAAAGATTTTAAACTAAACTGTTTAAGATTCACATGGACTATCGAGATGTTTACAATTAAATCTGATTCTTGGTTTCTGACATCAGCCACACTGGCACAGAAATATTACATACTCAAGCATACAGCCACTATCAATTTATTCCCAGATACCTCTTTACTCCTTTGCTGCACTGCAAGAAATTCATAGGAGCTTGGAAATTGATAGACATGTCTATCTTAAGAATAGCCTCTGATTTGTTACAAAATTTATGTAGCCAGCCCCCTAAGGCTGCATATGCAAAACCACAAACTTTGTGTTATAATCATGTCCTGCAGCTCCTCTTAACATTTTACATACAACATTTTGCTTGTCTCTTTTGAAGCTTCTGCTTGCTCATCTTTAACAGCGTGCTGTAGACCAGTTGCTGCTGTAGATGATCACCAAACCAACAGAATGTCTTTCCCTCCCCCCAGTCTGTGAGCACACAATACATTTTGTGTATGTGCTGGCATTTTCATCACAGCAATTCCCTGCAGCTTCTCCCAAGCATGCCAGACTTGTTTCCACTGTTCTGAACAGATTGCTTCATCTTTAGCCTCATGACTTTTTGGATAGGCAACAAGAAAATTATGTTTTTCCTGTCATTTTCTTCCTTCTTTTAATTAGCTTGGTCTTTGATACTTATTTCAACTGCCAACAAGTCTAATGGCTTCTTTACCTGAGTTTTGTGGTATTGAGAAGATACAGTTTTGTCTGATACTGTGCGAGAGCCCACTGAGGACTGACACAGCCAACAAATGAGTGATCATGTAGCATCTCCTGAAGATCTGAAACAATTGAAGGGGTGGGGAAGAAACAAGAGGATGTAATTTCATATTTGCAACTCTGCCCTAGTTATTTAGTTGTGGTTTGTGTCTTTTTAGCATTGACTTCTCAGATCACTGTTCAGTCACTACTACACCCCTGCTGTACTGCCAATTATCCATGTTTTGGAAGATTAATCATTTGTGTGCATACACACATATATTAACACATAAGTGAGAATAGTTATGTAACAGTTAAGCTACGAATGCAAATTTAAATATAAATAAATAAATCTGTGTTTGACTTAAATAGCCTTTCAGAATTTGTTTCCAGCCACAGATTAGTAACAGAGCACAAACATACTTCCAAGAAAACTGCATTTGTAAAACAACTTTGCAACAAAATCTAGTATTGTCAGACTAAATTCTTAAGTGTGATAGAGCATGTTCATAATTTATTTATTTTTCTCTCCCAAAATATGTATCCAGCTTTCTCACTTACATATACTTTAAAAAAAGGTATGAGAAGTTGGATTCCATAGTAAGAGTTCATTCTAGGCATTCCACAAGAGCTCCTCATCACAGGAGCCTGGCAGTGCAGTCACAGCATGTACAGAGCACTACGCTACCCAAATTCCATTGTTACCTTTTCCAAAGGAATACAATATCGTGAGAATGGTATTTCTTTCTTCCAAAGGTCTCTTGTAGCTACTCCTTACATGTGTGAAGACAAGATGCAACCTCAAGCTGCTGCACAAGTTCTACCATGTATTTTGAGAAATTTTGGGACATTTTATGGCTCAGGGACAACTCTGATTTCAGTATTTAAACAGTGACAGTCTGATATGGAATTACCAGCCTAACGCAAAACAACTTCTGGAGCACAAATAAAGTACAAGTACATGCTTTAGCTTTTCAAGATGCAATTTTCTAGTGTTATTAATTATGATGCAAGTTAAGGTTTGCAAAATATTTAGAATGCATAACACCTATCAACTAACAAGATACATGGAAGTCTTTAAAACAGTCCTCCAATATGGCAGCTGCCTGTTCAAGTTTGGCCCTTGACATTTAACACAATTTTGTTAAAAGCTCGCTTAGCAGCACAGTGAGCTGGCTGGGGCACCTTTTAAATATCACTTTCCTCAGCAGTTCAAACAATAGTATTTAGTTGGTGGAACAACAACCACCTTGAGAAGCAAAAGGCTTGCTTACTTGCATGTGTCTGGTTGCTAATTTCCTCCTGCAGAGTCAATACACTGGTCAAATTGATGATTCTTCTTCTAGGGGTGCAGGCAGCAGTCATGTCCTTCCTGCTGTCATCTTTCTCCATTTCTATGTCCACATCTTCCCGTGGTCTCTTTCTGCAATACCAAAACAAAAAGAATTACATTCAATTCTGTATCACTTGAGCAAAACACACCAACAGATGGGATTCTCAATTCACATGCTGTATGTTAGACTCCTTTATTTTACTTCCGAGGCACAATTTGTTCAGAAAAGGTAGTTCATGAGAGAATTTAAGCCTCTCTAATACCAATCACATCAAACATCTGTTGTTTAAGCACCAAGCGAACTGGGCTCTAAAGGACACATCAAAAAAATATTGGTATTTCTAGTAATTTTTCGCATGATAATTTTTCTGTAACACTGGGGGGGGGGGGCCAGGAGGGGAATCAGATTCCCTCAGATTTTGGCCTTGCCTAACAGCTCCTGCAGGAGCTATACCCTAGTAAAATAAAAGAGCTGTAATATTTTAAAGTCTGCAAAATTCAATGATGTAGTTTCTATCCCCCCACAAGAGGAGGGTCTCCCAAGAGAGACAGACCAGTACAATTTCCCTAAACTAAAGTTAATGGCATCATTTATACTGCTTTCTGCCTTTCAGTATGTGTGGAAATCTCATTCCAGTTAAAAAAAAAAATCTATCACAAGTTCTGTAATTTACAGTTCACAGATGAAGTTTGATTTCTTAATAAAATGCCATGGAAAATTACTCTAGGAAAATTTTTCCTTCTGAAAAAGCAAAAGGCCAAAGAGATCAAGAAAAATCTTAGTTTCAGGGCCATGTCATGAAATAAATGGGTCACCTTGTATGACCTCAGGCAGGATGAGACTTACCGAGGAGGCACTGTCTCAGGAGACAAGCGTCCACTCTTGCTCAGCCCCCCAGGCACCACCGTGTCCCCCTGAACATCTGCCATTTCAACCTGATCACTGACATCTTCCATTTCAGCATCCTGCGGCCTGGCCGTGCCCTCTGGAGGTCCTGCAGTAACCTCTGTTGTTGCTTCAGGGGGGCCTGTACTTAGGGGGTTGTTCACCGGCTGGAGAAAAGCATCCAATTTCTGCTCTCGGGCATCAGTACGGACCATCTGATGTGCATAAACCTTATCACTGCTTCCTTTGGTAACTGCAGAAGAGCTCGCTGCTGATTTTACCACCTCACTGGAAGAACAGTCGGCCCCTGGAAGCAATGTCTTCATTCAGATACAGGGAAGCAAAGAGAAGAGATTCAACAACAAGAAAAAAACCCAAACAGATCAGTCACACTTCTCACACCATCTTACTGCTCAGGGGCAAGTAACTTTCAAACCCCAAAACCAGTGTTAACTGCTTAAACAGGCCACAAGCTTTGCACTTGTTATCCACATAGCGTGACTGTCATCATCTTGGCAGTTAGTGTTCTTTTGTCTCAAAGGGAAAATCATTAATGGAAAAAAAATCACAAGGAAATTTGGTTCTTTTAAAAATAATTAAAATTCTTATGCTATGCTCCACATAGAGATTAAGAAACCTTCTTCCTGCTTTTTTTTCTGGTTAGATTAAATCCAAAGTGTTGTCAAATACAAAGAACAATTTCCTCAGTCACGTGACTGTCACATAAACTAGGGCAGAATAAAAACCAATTTACCACACGGGAAGGCTAATATACTTGTAAAATCAAAAAGACCGATCAGATACTTGACAGAAAGGTATTTAAACTGGTTTTGTACACTTTTTCTCTCTCACCACACTGTTAACATTGGTATCTTAAAGCAGTTTCATCCCTGAAACATAGAGCAAAGATCTCAAGGTACCAGCATAACGCTGATGACTCCGAATCACTGCACAGATTGTACTATGGAACACAATAAATGTACCCACAACAGTTTAAATAGTGCAGAGCTGTGGTCACTTCAGACACATTCTCACCTGAGTGAAGTACATCCTTGAAGAATTAGAGCCCAGTAACTTGCTCTCTACATGCTGTTGCACACGCTCCAGAATACTGTCCTCATGAAGGAAGTGGACCTCATGTTTTGTAGGGTGCACGTTCACATCTACGTTCTGAGGGGCTATTTCCAGGCTAGAAAACATTTTAAAAGAAGTTAACCTAGAATTTCCCATGGATCGCAGAGGGTACAAACTGGTTCAGTACAGAATTTGTCAGGCTTGGAGCGTTACTCCATGCAACTCCAAGTCAAAATGGTCCTGAAACCTGCTCAAGTTGCACTACAGTCAGATTTGCCTGGTATATTAAAAAATAATCTGAAGAACTCTATTCCAAACTCACCAAAATCAGCTTACGTAGGTAAGCTTAAACCAATCTCTCCATTGTACTACTACAAAAAACAGGTTTTAGAAATATTACTTGCAGTGTCTCACGAGTTAAAGGACTTAAGGCTGAAATTCCAGACAGTACTTCTAAAAACAAGGCCTGTCTTAAGATTTCTATTTTGTGATTTAATTATCTCCTGTCTGGCAATTAATTACCTCAGTGTAATGCTTAACACTAGTATTAGGAACACAAACATCCTTCTAAATCTACTCACCCTAGCTATATCCTGCAACATAGTATTAAAAGGCTAATTCTTCCTATTACTTTACCTTAAGTATAGGAAAGGATGCGTACTTTTTGGCAAATAAGCAGCATAAACCGTTTCTATGGCTTTCCGCAAAGCGGCTGACTCTACCAATCGATCTGAAACACAGAACAAAATGTTCTTTTCAAAGAGGCTCACTGAAATACACTGCACAGTGACCAACTTCTCCTTCAGGCCAACATCTTCATGCTTTGTATCTTCAAAGGGCATCTGTTATACCCGTTTTTTCTGAGGCCTATTTATTCTTCATATAAAACCAGGAATAGACAACATCTTCTTAGTAAGTTTTTTTATTTAGAAGTTTGGTTTTTTCCCCACACATTCTGAAATAACCGTTATTTTACAGTTAAGGTCTGTTGCACCCCAAGCCAGTGTTGCTGCAGAACAGAGAGATTACTCTGTGTAAGTTGGCAGGACACAATCATAAGCTTGATACTCCACAAGCTTAAGTTTCTTTAGGCCCAGTCTTAGCTGCTTTCCACCAGAGTGCAAAGCACGATGCACATTACAAACAGAAAACACCTTAAGATCTACAATTAACTGTAATACTTATTTTTCAGGGGTTTTAAGAACGTTCATACATTTTGTAGATCTTCAGAAACTTTTGTTTTTCTGAATATTACATAAGTAACATATGACTGTACAAAATGCTGCCTTTTTTTCTAAACTTACGGTTTATGAAGAGTAAAAATATGCATTTCTTCACAGAGTAGTTTGCATTCGTGATGTAGCCTTTCATTTTAAAGGCCAGACTTGCATCTTCACAGCCCACTTCTATCAGTTCCCTGTTGACAGTACCACACACAAAAAATTAATTCTTCTGTTGATGCAAATTTAAAACAGTACTCAGGAGTAGCGATATATTGTTCTATATTCTATTTATATCACAGTTAATGAAAACACTGGAATTATTTAAAAGTTCAAACTTCCATTGCCAAGCCACAAAAAAATATTTAACCTGAACTGGAGTTTCTTCTTTCTAATAAGTGTAAACTAGTAACACCATATGATCGGAGTCTGTAAAACTATCCACATTATCTTTTTAATACCTTAACACATCACAGTATACACAGTATTATAAACATCTATTGATAATTCTAATATGCATTTCACTGTTTTAAATCATTGACAGTGACAGACAGACACTTCAAAACTGTCAGCAGCCAGGGAAGAACATTCTTTTTCTTGAACTACTCTGTCTACTTCTTAACAGCCCACCAATAAATTTTAGACTGGCAGAAGTCATAAAGATGTAAAAAAATTTTTTCTTGCTCATACATACAGAACCTAACATTAACAATTATCTCATAATAGTTTTTATAGTTCTCATGATTCATTAGTCAAAGAAATTCACTTTGTTACTTTGTGAGCACAGCTCTCTAGCAAGGCATTGTGCCAACTTCTGAAGTTACCACAGAAAAAAGTCTTACAGGGTACTTATTTCCAAATCAACCTCAATATATACCAAGTTCCATTTTTATTTGTGTTCATTTTTTAAGTCAAAATAACAAGGTAGACTAATCACCATCTTAAATTAGCTAAAATAAAAGTTTCATTTGAAAACATAGAATCAAAACATTTAAGTGGAAATGGACAATTTATTCAAACTGTGAAAAGGAAAAACTACCAAACAGGCTTTAGCAGTAGACAAAACCAAATGCATAACAAAGAAATACAAACAACACTGCAAATCTTACCACTAAACAGCCTCTATAGTTTGCTGTGTTTCATAAAGGTTTCCATGTATTAAAAGTTACATTCCTTACATGAAAAGTGTGACTTTATTAACTGAATCAAGTTGACACCCAAGTACTGATGGGACAAATCCATTCCACAAGTTCATTCAGTAAGTTCTTCACAGATGAATGTCTTAAAAAAGAGACTTTTTCCTGAAGTGGCAGATATATTAAAAAAAAAAAAAAATTGTTTTTATTTGCTTTCAACTTTTCTGCCTGGTTTACTCAGCCTCAGCTAATGTAGCTTTTGTCAAAATATTAAACTGTAAGATTTCAGAAAAACAAATCTGAGGAGACTTCAGAATGTATCAGGTAGCAGGCTGTGGTAAGAAGTAGCAAGATTTTCATGGCATAGGAAGAGGCTAGGAACTTGTAGAGAACACAGGTACAGCTTGCTCTTTTTAAATAAGCACACAGAAAGCTACAAGCAGATGGTTCCCTTCAAGTGCATTAAAGGAACAGCTTTGCAACCTCCCTCTTTCCTCTGAGATACTAAAAACAAGTCACATGTTTCTGCAAGACAAAAGAGAGCTCTATTATTGCAACACTCCCTCTTCTCTGTCACTTACCTTGAAGGAAGCAGGAAAAGTCAGCACAACCCATCGTCTTTAAAAGAGAAAGGGGGGGGATACTTACTAGAAAATTTCATGTCAAAAGGAACCTTGACATCAACATACCTGCTAACAGCATTTCCAAAGATGGACCTGATGTTGTCCACTGTTGAGGCGTTTGATAATGTTCTAACATCTGACACAGTATCACCTTGCTAAAGAGAGCAGACATGAGTATCCATCAATTCACAGTTCTGGCTGAAGTTTTAGACATATGTTAAACTTAACAATAACATTGCGAACACAAAGGCATGGGACGTCATTATAATGTTTTGTATTATTATTTATTTATTTGTGTTCAGAAAAAACAATGAATGGTAAATGGCACAGGAATACCAGATTTGCTAGATGACATCAATCCGTTCAGGCCAGCAACTCCATCTTTGAACGTGAGGAACATAAGTAGTTGAGTAAATAATTATCAAGAATGCCTCAGAACGAGGGTACTCTACCCCATCCGCTTTCATAAAGTAATTAGTAACCAGACTCTCAAAAGAAGTTGAAACAGCTCATAAAGCTAAAACAAAACGTTGACCACATAGAAAACTCCAAGCTCCTGACAAATATATTTTTGTCCTGTTTACTTTTAACTAGTATGTTCTCTATCCAAACTGCATCAACATACACTTGGACATTTCAGTACAAGGGAAAGCTCTGTACACCATCCCACTGCAAAAGATGCAGGGCAAGTTTTCTGGCCTTTTCAGATATACATATTACACATATATACAGACACACAGTGCACTTAAAAGACTTTGTTTACATACCTTTTTAGCCGAAAAGCTGATGCCCGAGTTATGGATGGCATACCTGAAAAACAGATAAACATAAGGCTGCAGTATGTGAAAGAAAAGGTTACCTTCCCTGGATGCCAAAAAGTGGTTAGTAACAGGGACAAACTATTCCATTTCCTGTTACACAGTATTGTGATTTGAGTCAAATTGAGCTGTAGACTAAACGGCCATAAAAATAAACCTTTTCTTTTTATAACTCACCTGTAACCATATGAAATTCAAGAATGAGCTTAGCTTATTCCTCAAAAAAATCTGATCGACTTCTACAGATGTAGCTGGTTCAGTTTCATTGCATAGGTTTAACTATAAGAGCAGCAAACCCCCCTCAGTATAACAGAATCAAGTCTGAACCACTAAAAAGAATCTGATAAGTCTGGCTTACCCTTTTATCTTCCCCTACCCAGATGGCTCAGCTGTCTCTGACCCCAGGGCCAAGTTCTGATACACTACAGCTGCATAACCTTGACTCAAACTTCCAGGGAAGTTGATAAGTCATGAGAAAGAACACACTGTAGAACCTTGCAAGATAAGAAATGCAAATATGCAGACCATGGTTAGACTGTTCAGCCTGGGACAGTTAGTAACTCAAAAACTCCAGGGGAAAAAAAACAAACAAAAAAAAAGGATGCAAAATCCTAATGGAAAAAAGCCCCAGTGAGTTGGAAGCCTGTAACTTGGCAAGACTTGAGATCAGTCTGTTCCACGGAGCAGCAGGATCTGACCCTTTGACACTTCACCCCCTGGCTGAAGTCTGCCTGGCCAGCAGAGACTCCTAAGTAGCTCATTCGGGGAGCAGGCTATAACACTTAGCACACAGGCTTGATACTCTTTGCTAGATTTAGGGTTTACCAGAAGTGTAAAGCTGTTATTTTGGTTAAATTGTGTAAATCCTGCGTGCCAAGCCCCTGCACGTGGCAAAAGATGCAACAAAGGGACCCAGGAAGGGAACATCTGGTAGCTAAAGTGATACAATTCCTTTTTTGAGGACATAAAATTGTCAGTCAGCTTTTTCACATTCAGCCAAATCTCAATGCTCCTGCACAGTTTTTACTTGGGATTCTATTCAGCCCAAGTTTATTGGGAGTTCACTCACTCAAGACTATCATCATCTATTTGCTGGAATCCTTACTAATAATAGTCATAGACAGAGTACACAGTTTTCCCTCTGGATTCTCCGCATCAAATTGGACTGTTATCTGACATCTTACACTAACAGACAGTTAAAAAACAAAAAAAATTACACCAAACACATATGCCAATCCCTCTGAAAAAAAAAACACATTACTCCTCATGGCAGTATAAGAAATTGGAGCTTATTTCAGTTTACCTGCTAACAACTTCTAGTATTTTTGCATATTCTTCATTTGGATTTTTTAAAGCTTTCCTCCTTGTATTTACATTGTAAAATAGATCTTCAACCTACAGAGAAAGAGACGACCATTAAAAAGCATTTTACAAAATATTCTCTTACTGTATTATTAATCTAAATCCATCTTCTTAATAGATACTACGAAATTCTCTCAGAATATTTCAGTTTATAGATGATCAACATTCAATTTATTCCTCACCTGCTTCAGTTCACCTAACAAAACCCAACTCCAGAGAAATGTATGTTTTCAAATATTTTGGCACATCAGTATTTTTACCAATAATAAAAACAACTCTACAGCTCACTTTTCAGTACAAGTTACAGACCTTCCTCTGCAGATGACAATGGATTCCCTGATTACACCCTGTTTTAATGAAATGCAAATGAATGTTAAAACAGTTGCTGCAATCAGGGCTGTTCATATAGTAATACCTTCCCATTCTGAGCTCCTTATTCTTCATAATCTTAATGCCAATCCTAACCCCAACGCACACTCAAATCATGGTATATATGAAAGATATGACTGAAAACCAAACAGCGGTTCTGCAGTTTCCTGTGCAGGCCCTCATCTTCCCACCCTGGCTCATACAATGCAAACCACTCCTCCATATTCTGAGCTTCTTGTAGCCCAAACTGTCCACTGAGGCTTTCAGCAGTCCAGGAGGATTACCAAATATTTATGAATGTAAATGACGATGCTATCCTCAGAAGGAAGAAAAAAAAAAAAACCAAACAAACCCCACACTGTGATCTTCTAAAATTTACCTTGCTGTCTTTGGTGAAGAAAAAACAAAAAACCCCACAAAACCACACACCATTTGGAAAATATTCTGTAAGGTGTTACTGTCACATACCTTACAATGTAAACACATACCTAAGTGGTGCAAGCACAGCCACCAGGAAACAGAAAAGGGACAAGAGAGAACAGGCACAAAAACCTACTGTGATCTGAGTTCCTTGATTTCCAGCACAGGGTTTCGGAGGGGCTTTAATTTTTCCATCACTGTAAGCAGCTCTAGGCAGAAAATACAAGTAAAAAGTTGTCAGACATCTAGATTTACAGGGGGTCAGACACAGAAAAAGGGAGAAGACAACAGAAATCCCATCATCATCACACTCCTCCTAGCAAAGAACCTGGGACACTGACAATTGGCTGCAACCCGCCCACCTTTGTTAGGGGAAAGCTGTCTGACCGTAGGACCCAGAGGGCCAGTGGGAGACTGGGAACAGCAGCAGAGAAAAAGGGGCAGGTAACGGGATATGTGTTTTGAAATTGCATTACTGAGACTTTTCCTGTAAAGGCACGATTACTGTATTTTATTTTTCTTCAATAGCTAGACCTGAACTAATAATAATTTTTTCACTTGACTTCATAACTCAGCGTTACTAATAAGAGATTCTTGACTTTACATATAAGATGTTTCCTTTTTGCCTGTAACAGGATTTTGAGCACAAGAGATTTCTGACCCACGTAGGTCTTTCAGCAAGTGATAAAGGGGCATAATTTGAAAGGGCATACTTTTTTTTGCCCTCTCACATACCCTACAAACTTAATGCAAGAAAGACCGTAGTCACACAATCTTTTGAAAAACAAAGATGCAAAGTGTCTCTTCCCCCCCCCCCCCC